GAATTGACCGAGATGAATCAAGCAACAGCAGCAGCACAATACGAAGTGGAGGTCTTCCCCCACTCTTCCTTTTCAAAATAAAAAAAAAGAGTTGAATAGATATAAAAAAAAAGAACAATAAAAGAAACAAAAAAAAAAAAAAAAAATACACATCACACACACCAACTACTACTGTGGTAGACCTTTTTACTTATACTCAGGTGCACTCCTTTTCTCTTTCTCTCCTCAGTAGGCTGATGGTCCACGAAAATGTGTTTGGTCCTCTTCTTCATTGAGGAAACAACGGCTTTTAGCTGGTCGTTTGGGAATATATTTTGAGTGGAACAAACCACGCTGGTGTCGTCGTGCCACTTGCACGGCAGACAATCCAGTTTTTCGCAGTGCCGTAGATTGAAAGCCCCGATCGGACTCACACTCACCACGAATCACGCCAAGTACCACAAACAAAAATAATACAGCCAAGTTAGGCAACACCATCGTCCATGTGCTTCCTATAGAAGAGAGAATCTTCTGAATGACAGGTCTCGGCTTCGTACAGTGATCTTTTCCTGGTTCATATGCGGGATCGCAATTACTGCAAAAGGGTTGTGCCCAAAAACCTTTTATAGGATCATGAAAACAGGCACATTCTTCTAAAGAAGTACCTGGTTTGGTGCAACAGCCATTTCCATTACATGTTATGGCAGGGTCACAAGCTATTTCACTACTGTAATCTTTTTTACATGATTCTTGGTTACCTTTAATGGAATAAGTGCGTCCTGCACATGTTGTACAATTAAACACAAATCCATCATTTTCTGTAATACAAGTAATGTCTTCTACACAGTGTTGAGTCCAAAGAGTAATATTATCACAACTAGTAGGGCACAACGCCGTGTAGGGAAAACACAAAGAACTATTAGGATCACTTTGATCAAAATTGTTGTCCCATGTACATAAATCAACACCCCTAGTTACAACTATCCCTGAAATACCATTGCAAGTACATTCAAATGAGGAATTCCCACAATTACGTGATGAAACGTTTCCACCAGCCCCAAAAGTATTTGAGCACCATTCATTAACCGTATCGCAGCTCAATGGACACTGTGCACTTGAGCTCTCAGCTCTGCTAACAGAAAGAGAATAACTAAAAAGAAGAACAAAGACTATATAAATAGACCAAGGCTTCATAGCACAACTTCTTATTCTTACTTTTTATTAAACGGAAAGAGGGGGAAAAAAAAAACAAAAATACACTAATACCAGAGCATTCATAAGTATTATATCACTGCAAAAAAAAAAAAAAACAAAGAAATAAATAAAGAGATTATTCACACTATCCCAAACCACCGAGATAGCTGTATGTCTTCTCTCACCTTTACCCCCTTTTTTTTTTTCTAAGTGTAATGCGTCTTTTGAATTGTGGTGAAGTCAAGCCGCATGGTAATTATTATCTTTATATATATATATATTCTGCACATTGCTGCATTTGTAATGTATCGTTTTATTTATTTTTTCCTTTTCTTTTCGTCTTTTTTATTCCTCACCCTTATCACCACCCAACACCCGGCATCTATTTTTTTTTTTGTCTTTTTTTTCATTATTATTATTTCCCCGATTTCCTTTTTCTCTCTCTTTTTTTTTGTTTTGTTTTCTCCCTTCTTCTAATCTTCGCAATTGTATAAACAATTTTGTTGGCTTGTGCAGTTACGGTAAGATCATACCACGGGAACTAATGATTGCGCAAACACGAATGAGAGTTGTCAGTAGCACAAGTGAACCCAACTGGTGACTCACGGCAACAGGAATATCCACACAGGAGATAACTGTCCACATGCCTAATCCCACCTGAAGCGCCAAGGCGCCGTTAACAGCGATCATACTACGACGGAGCATCTTTGGAAGTGTTGCGTTATACCGCATACATGCCGCGTTGAGTCCAAGCACTGAGAGTGTACTTACGCCGGCCATCAGTCGATGCCACGTCTGCGCGGCGGCGGGATTCTCAAGAGCGTTGCGCCACCACGGCTGCACAGTCCAGAGATGATCACTTGGTGGGACGACACCGCCGCCCATCCATGGGAATTCATCATTATACATCACACCCGCATCTAATCCAGCCACGAAGGCTCCTGAAACAACAGCGCAGAAGACAAGAGCGAAGGAGGTGCGTGCAAACGACTGAATAGTGATTTTTCCATTAAAATCACCCATACATGGATTTTTTAATCGGAAACCAATATGCATCATACAAGCATAAATGGTAAATGCCAATACCAAATGAGAAGCCAGTCGGTATGCAGAGACGGTTGCCTTTCGCCTTTCATCTAGTAAACGTGGGTCTAGTCCACTCCTCACCATGTACCAACCCATTGCCCCTTGAGCTCCACCCAAGCCAAGTATACCGAGAATAGCCGCTCCAAGTGCCTTCTGTCCAGTAAATCTACCCTTGTAAAAGAAATACGCCATTGGAAGTCCATATACAATACCCAAACTGCGTGCCAAAAGCCTGTGAGCCCATTCCCAAAAAAAGATAAATTTAAATTCTTCTAGTGTCATTTTATCTCTTTGTTTGAATTCTGGAAAATTTTGGTACTTGGCAAACTCATCTTCCCACTCCTTCTGCGTTAAAGGAGGTCGAACACCCGTTACTGGTTTCCAGTCAACAATACTAAGCCCACTCTCCGTAAGTCGTGTAATACCTCCAATGATAACAACTCCTCCCACCAATGCTGCTGATAAATAAAGCCAATGGGCTACAGATCGATTTGTTGCTGGAGCTCGCCATATCTTTTCTTCACCAACAGTCGTCGCCCCAGCCGTAGCAGAACTCGATTGTAAACGGCGTGTAAAATAAAATGAAAACCGTGATTGTGAAAGAGTCACTGGTGGAACCCTAACCCTAAAACGTAACATGATTTCTTTTTTTTTTTTTTTCTTCTTTTTGTAGTATTTGTTTTGATCCCCTCTCTTTTTTTTTTCTTTTGATTTTTCGTCTTTATTTAATCTTATACGAATTTTTAAAAAAAAGAAAAAAAAAACGAGACGACGAAGGGAAAACACACACAAAAAAAAAAAATGGCAAAAATAAAGGACTAAGCCTACATACAAGTACAGAAATACAAAGAAAAAAAAAAAGAACATATAGATGTGTAAAGGGGTAAACAAGGCGAAACAATATACAAAAACAATAACCAAAAACTAAACCAAACTAAAAACAGAGTCTTTTCTTTCTCTCTTTTTTTTCTCTTGTGATAACACGTCAAATGTGTCTTGTAATCAATAACTTAACCAGGTGAGTGAAGGAGATGAAGAGAGGCAGCAAGAGGGATAATACTAAAGAAAAAAAATATAGAAGGTGCAAACACACCAACTACCGCCAAACGATTCTGTACAATTGGAAGGAGAATTACAAGTCGTACAATAAGTGATACTGCAGTTGTGATGGTCACCCGACGTATTTTGGAAGCAATGGGAATAACAGACTCACCATATCCAACAATACGCCTCGGTAATACTATAGAAGTAACAAGAAAACAGATTGCTAATATACCTTGGTATATACTGGAGAAATATTCTAATGCCATAGGGAATATATCTGTTAGAACTAGTTCTAACGCAATACCCATAGTAGTAAAAAGAGTAGCAATAGAACCCCAAAGAATAATACGAAACCGTTTTGCTGAAAGACGACCAGAGATATCCCCAAGTCTATATAATAGAATACAGAGTACAGTAAAGTAAATAAAAAATAAGAGCGCTTGAACGGATGTAATCAAGTCCTCATTCCGTCGACTTGTACCAGAATCTAAGTGTCCAGGATCTGCTAACGTTAGAGTAAGTGCAGTAATAGCGTGCGTCAATGAACAGCAGACAGCAAGCATAAATAGTAAAGACTTTGCATCCCTAAATATGGACCAATTCATCACATTAGCTTCTCTATTTGGTATAGAGTTTCTCTCACGGTTTACATTCCTTGTATTCGTCATCCACACGGATGGTGTAGTTGCGGGTGAGAAGAAATACACTCCCCGTATCTCATCTCTCACCCCAGACTGTGAGTTCAATACTGGAGAGATATCTTTAGATCCTGCAGTCACTACTTCATTGGGAAAAGTATAAGAAACATCCCATATTGGTGATAGTGGTGGGGAACTTAATATACCTGCTGCATCATACAAACGAGATGGGGATGTTGCGATAATTCCATCTTGACTTATTGAGTCACCTACACTAATTCGTTCATCTTCTCGAAGTTGTCGGTAGCGTTTATCATCACGTGCGAGTAGACAGTGATTAGCGTACATGGCTACAAGAATAAAAAGGAGACTTAATGTACCATTAGTAGCAAGTAATGCTAATACGATGCGTTCATCTGGGTCCTTCTTCAGCATCTTATCCTGAAAAGCATATGCTAACATGTAGTTTCACTTTTTTTCTTTTTTTTTTCTCTTCTTTTACCCTATACTTGGTGTCGTCTCCGTTATTTGTATAATAGAGAGTGACCACAGGGTCTTTTTTTTTCCTCTAATTGATATTTCAAGAAGAACAAGAAGAAAAAAGAAGAAAAATTTATAGGTAGAGCATTTTACATTGAAATATAATATTTATACAATGATACCCCCTTTTCTTTTCTTTTTTTTT